TGCTGCAGCCGGTCGTCCCTCATACCGCACACGAGCCGGTCTCGGAGGGCCTCTTCCACATTCGCGAAGTTGCAGGGCCTTGCCGCCTTTCGTAGGGCAGCCACAAACTCCGCCACCGACTCGCTGGCCGCCTGACCCCTCTTATAGAAGGCATGCCGGCACGCAATCTCCGACGGCTTCGGGGAGAAATGTGCCTGCAGCTTCTCGGTCAGGTCCTTGTACGAGACGGTCGAGATGTCCGCTGGTGCCACCAGGGACCGGGCGATGTCGAACACGCTCTTTCCGCAAGAGCTCAGGAGCGTCGCCCGCTTCTTCTCCTCCGTCGTGATGTCGGAGGCTTCGAGGTGGAACCCGAACCTTGACAGGTAGGAGTCCCAGTCCTCGGTCGCTGGTTCGAAGGCCTCGAACTTCGGGCTATTGGCCATCGTTGCAATCGCTGCCACCGGCTCTGGTGGTGCCTGTTGCTGACTGGCCACGGCGAGCTGCTGCTCTTCGTTGTCCGTCGTGGGTCTGGATGTAGCGGGGCTGCCTACCCGCACTAGCATCCCATCCTCGTCGCCAATTGTTAAGTCCGGCGCTTAACAATGAGTCGGAGAGTGATTTCAGTAAAAGACTCAAGTTTATTCAGCTCTTTGTTCACTTCTTCGACACGGTACAACATCTGATAGCCCGAACAGTTTGCCCATTGAAACTGCCCGGTATTTAAACATTCCCGGCTAACATAGCCACTCCCACTATACACATAACAACCTATCAGGTTGAGCGCATAAGGACCAATCACAAACGTTCCCGCTTGCGGCTTGCTTGAATGTGATTGGGTCGTGAGTCTTGGACTAGGATGCTCTGTCCAAGACGAAGCTTAACATTGCTTCCCTATGTGATGATTCACATAAAACCTCCTGTACTCATGGCAGCTATGAATACATTACAGCGGGAACAACCCAATACATATAGTTGGGCAAGGCAACTAGCTAAGCAAATGAACTTTGAGCGCACGGGCGGGAATACTCCCGGCGGGAGATTACATAATGAGCGGGAAAGTCGCAGGGTTTCCTGAGAGCAGAAAGATTCACACCAAAAGTGAACCGCAAGCCCATCCCACCTCACAAGGCCAGACTGATAACGGCGTCTAGCTCCCACAGCTCTCCCAGGCATGTTTACTGCCAGCTGCTGAGCTGCAAGCAAGGGAACAGGGAAGGGCAGAATACACAAAAATGGCAGCTAGCTGACAACATGATCTATAAATCTGTAAGTAACGACTGATCTTTATCTCATCTTTGTGCTCTGAGATGAAACCCTCTGAATAAACTGACTATGCGTTGTCTGTATCACCTGAAGTCTCTAATATGTTTTCATCACATTCTCCCTGGGGCCTGGCAAGCAGACATACAATGTGACTTCCTTGCTCAGATCTTGGTTGCCAAGTGCAATTTGGATTTGGACCATCTCTCCTTATATATAATTCCATTTTTGAGTGGCAAAGTTCTATGCATGCCAATTTTGGCTGCCTGAACTGCCACTCAGAAGGCACTGGCTGCGTTGGCTGCCTGGGTTGCGGAGTCCCGCCCACAGAAGCAGCGGCCAGCGTCTCCGGGTGAGTGTGCTCAGAGCCGACAGAAGGGACGGACAGGACTCTCCGCGGGGCTGTGGATAGCTGTGACCTCCTTCCCTCCGGCTCACGTGCAGCGTGGGGGGTGGGGAGGGGGGTCCTTGCTTTTGGTCCTCTCCCACAGCCCCCTCCACCCCTCACGCTGACGCCGGCCCGGCCGCTCACCTCTCCTCCCCGGCTCCGGCCGCTCGAGCTGGCTCCGCCTCACATGCCGGCTCCATTGCCTGCCTCAAGCTGTTTACAATGGCTGCGAGTCAGAGTGGGGCAGGGGGTAGGAGGACAAAAAAACTGCGCAGCCAGAGTCGAAGTGGGGGGACGACTGCCAAGGTGGAGGAGAGGGCTGCCCACAGCAGCGGTGATCTGGCCATGGCGCTCGGGGGGGGGGGGCGACTGCTGCAGGCTGGAGCACTCTCCCAGGCCCTCTTTCTAGAGCTCATTGCATTCCTTTCTGCAACGGGCCTTATTACTAGTTGTACATAGAAAGAGGGTGTGTAATAGGGTTGCTTGGAGATCTCCTGGAACTGCACCTGATCTCCAAATGACAGAGATCAGTTCCCTGGGAGAAAATGGCTGCTTTGAAGGGTGGACTCTATGGCATTATACCATGTGGAAGTCCCTCCCCTCCCCCAATCCCACCCTTCCTGGGCTTTACCCCCCAAATCTTCGGCAATTTCCCAACCCATAGGTGGCAACACTAGCTAGGACAACTGAGACCCTGGAGGAAATTGCATTATACCCTGCTGTCGTCTCTACCTTTCCCAAGCCCCTCCCTTCCCAAGCACCACCACCGAATCTCCAGGAATTTCCCAGCCTGGAGTTGGCAACCCTCAACACTCGAATAGATGCACAGTTGGGCCTGATCCATCAGGGCTGCTCTTATCTTAAGATCACAGATTCTTTTCTTTTCTTTTTTGTAGGCTAAATGGGACCTCAGCCACGAGGATGTGATTCTGGGAGAGCTGTTAGGCAGTGTAAGTGGCAGCTGGTTCTGAATGTTTCACCTCTGTTTTCTAAGAGTGAGCAGGGCTAGGGAGAGAACACAGTGAAGCAGCTGACAAGAGGAACAGATCTGGCTCAGAGGCTGTTATGGGTCCTTCAAGTAATAGTAGGGCTGCCAGGTCTTAACTGGCTGCCAGTGGGGGGAGGCTCCAGCCCGGGTTCCTGGATCTTCCAGCACGTGCTTGAAGCACAAGCGCCATGATGACATCACCCGGAAGTGACATCATCACACCAGGCACGTCGTGCAGGGGACGATCTAGCATTTGGCCCAAAACTCCATGGTCACCATAGAGTTTTTAGCCAAATGTTATAGCATCCCCATGCGACATGCCCAGCATGATGTTGTCACCTCCGGGTGACGTCCTCGTGCCAGGCATACTGGGCCTCTTCTTGGGTGGGGCTCCCCTGCTGGCCAGCTGCCCGGCGGGGGATTGGGGGCCCCCAAAGCAGGGGAACCCCCACCCCGAATAGGGCTATGGCAACCCTAAGTAATAGGTGTAGGGTTGCCAGCTCCAGGTTGGGAAATACCCGGAGATTTGGGGGTAGAGCCTAAGGAGGGCAGGGTGTGGGGAGGGGTCTGATTAGCCTCAACCAGGGCTAGGGCTTTTTTGGCCCTGACCCCTGCCTGGTGGAACAAACTCCCACTTGAGATCAGGAGCCTGCGGGATCTGTTACAGTCCCGCAGTGGCCTGTAAAATGGAGCTCTTCCACTGGGCTTTCGGTTGAGACACCAGACGTCCAAATCTATCTTGGCCTCCCCTGCTGACAGCGCTGATTTTCTTAATCTAGCAAACTATCCAGGTAAAACACGTCCATCCGAGCTTTGTTATCAAGGCAAGCTCGCTCTGGTTTGCTGTACGGTTGATTTGAATGTGAGTTTTATTGTTAAATGTCTATTTATTTATATTCTAGTCACGATCTTTATGTGACTTTGTAACCCGCCCTGAGCCCACTCGCGGGGAGGGTGGAATAAGAATTGAATAAATGAATAATGCCATAGAGTTCAGCCTTCGAAACAGCCATTTTCTCCAGAGAAAGTGATCTCTGCTGCCTGGAGATCAGTTCAGTGTTTCCTCTAAGCTGTGCCCGTGAGCGGCCGTTCATTAACACAGGAAGCCCCGCTCAGCAGCAATCTGGAGCCACGCAGGGCTGCCCCATTGCCCATTTTAAGATTACAGCAGTTCTATTCTGCTAAGGATGGGAACTGCTCCACTCAGGGTTGCCAAGTTGATTTTTCCTACTGGCGGGGGAGCCTCGCTGGGCTCCGGGAGCTCTCCATTGATGCGCGCGTGCATTGCCAGCACGTCACCGGAAGTGACGCGCGACGTCGAACACGTTGAGGGCGTGGCCCCGATCGTCGGAGGGAAAACCTCTGGAGACGCAGCCACTCTGCGCTTCGGGGGGCGGAGTTCCCCCCAGGGCCCGATTCTGCGGCGGCGGAATCAGGCCTCCGAAGCGGGGGTTTACCCGCCCCCACTTGGCAGCCCTAAGCTCAGTAGAGGGGAAAAACTAGAGGGAACATTGGTAATCCCAGGAGATCTTCAGCCACCACCTGGAGGATGTGCAAACAACCAGAATAATCTGTCACGCTGTACAAATCACACTTGAGACGACTGTCTCATACAGTTCTATTTACAACCAATGCTCCCTCTAAGCTGTGGAGTCTTGTGAGCAAAAATTCTACTGGCATTAAAGTTGTGAGCAAGTGATTTGGCTACTGCATAAATTACTTTGCTTTGGAGCCATCCTTCCTAAGACAAAAATGTGTGAGCCAGAGGCTAAAAAACTGTGAGCTAGCTCACACTAACCCAGTTTAGAGGGAACACTGTTTACAACCATAAATGATACACATAACAAATGGTTTCCCCCCATGCACAAATGACATCTGCACCAGTTGAATAGTGACCTAATATAGAATCCAGGGGCACCTTTAAGACCAACAAAGGTTTATCCAAGGTATGAACTTTCCTGTGCATGCTCACTTTTTCAAATTCATTGGAATGGCAGGGAAGGTTCAAACTTATAGCCAGAGAATGAATAGCAAAGCAACATGTAACATGATGATGTTCAAGATATGCAAAGTGACACTAAATAAGAAGGTAAGGTTATAAGGTCAACAGTTGTAAAGCAATAAATATGTCAGACTAGTATAATGGTCATTGAAAGTACAAGTCTCTACTCAGAATGGTGTGGTCACTGGCTCACGGTGCAGAGAAGAGTTTCCGAAAGAAAACACGCAGTAAGAATGAAAAGTACTAAGAAGCGTGGAGTGATTTCAGCAAAGTACTTTTATGCAGCAGGAACAAGACAAGGACTGCCGGCTCGCAGGCCGGTATATATGCCCAGAAAACCCACCACCAAAACACACCCTCTACTTCCTATAGGTTATTTACAGTGGCCGAGAGTCCCATAGGCTCTCGGCCGCGGTCCTGGCCCTCTGATAGGTGCGGGCTAGGATCCGCTTCGCTATTGTTCTCTGTGGAGCGAAGGTCTGCTGTTCGGGATGACCGCATGGCGCACGTGGTCATGGCAGAGTACATTACAAAGGAGAAGAGATTGGATTTATACCCTGCCCTTCACTCGGAGTCTCAGAGCGGCTTACAAACTCCTTTCCCTTCCCCTCCCCACAGCAGACAACCTGTGAGGTAGGGGGGGCTGAAAGAGCTTTTTCCAGAGCTGTCCTTGAGAGAACAGCTCTGACCAGAACTATGGCTTGCCCAAGGTCATCCAGCAGCTGCAAGTGGAGGAGTGGGGAATCAAACCCGGTTCTCCCAGATTAGAGTTTACACACTTAACCACTACACCAAACTGGCTCTCAGTAGATGGCATGAGCTCCAAACTAGCTGTAAAAAGGTAAAGGTAAAGGTTCCCTTGCTCGAAAGCCAGTCAACTCCAACTCTAGGGTTGTGGTGCTCATCTCTGTTTCAAAGCCGAAGAGCCAGAGCTGTCCGAAGACGTTTCCATGGTCATGTGGCCAGCATGACAACACCAAAGCGCACGGAACGCTGTTACCTTCCCACTAGCTGTAGTGTGAACCAAAAGAGCGGCGACGGCACACCTAGGTTGCTTTGCCATTTCTTAGGGCTTCATCAGTCCGCTTTTCTTAGTGATGGAGCTCAACCCAGCTCTGGCAAGATTCAAAATGACATGAAGTCTTACAAGTATGTTCCAAATAGCTAGGAATCAGGCTCTCGCCTGGAGGGTGGCAACCCTAAATAGGTCCTAAGCTGTAAAAGGCAAATAGTACCTTAGACCAAACAGAGAAGCATTGCAGTCGCTCACAAACAGGTCTCATACAAGAGAAATTATTTGTTTCCTACCAAAAGATTCATTCTGAATTAATGAAAGTTTCCAGGTTGCCTTCAAGGGCAGCCCCATGCAAAGCTCACTGCAATCATTTTGTAAAACTATTTTTCCCTGATTGATTGGTTCTTGTATCTCTACCCCAGGGGAATTTCGGGGAGGTATACAGCGGCCGCCTCTTCTATGACAACACCCCTGTGGCTGTGAAGACCTGCAGGGAACGGCTTGCTCCGGAAACAAAGGAGAAGTTTCTCATGGAGGCCAGGTCAGGAGACAGACGGGCTGCAAAACCTCCACCCCCCCAGTGGTCTCTCTTTAACAAGGATGCCCCCTTCTGGTCCCTGGCCCTGGCAGAACCATGTCCCTATTCTATATCTTGGTGGGGGTGCTGGATGGGGAGGGTCGGAGAATGCCTTGTTGAGTTTAGAGTGGTTCTTTGTTTTAAGCTGCATATGAGTTTTATTCTGATTTTCTGATATCTGTGTTGTGTATTGCTCGGTTGCCGGCTGCTTGTGAATGTTATATCGTATTTTCGTATCCTTGTTTCTTGGCCCAGCAGTCCATATTTATAAACCACCGTGGAACGGCGTGTGCGCATGGGATGTAAGATGTGACCATATCTTTGGGCCTGTTTTCCATGTCTCAGAAAGTCAAACGTTCTTTCTTACATAATACGTAATACAAAGCCACAAGGCCACAGCCTGGGTATAGCGGCCAGCTTCTGAATCACCCCGGGTTGCCACCCTCCAGGTAGTGGCTGGAGAGCCAGTTTAGTGTAGTGGTTAAGTGTGCGGACTCTAATCTGGGAGAACCGGGTTTGATTCCCCACTCCTCCACTTGCACCTGCTGATGTGACCTTGGGTCAGTCACAAGCTCTGGCACAGGTGTCCTTGAAAAAGAGCAGTTTGTGTCAGAGTTCTCTCAGCCCCACCCACCTCACAGGGTGTCTGTTGTGGGGAGGGGAAGGGAGAGGAGTTTGATATGATTTGGATTTTTCTAAGCTTTCATATCAGAGCACGTAGAGTTTGTTCTCCCACCTGCTTCGGATTGTCCAGTCCCATAAGTCTTTCACTCTACATTAGGCAATCGACTGTGCCGTGATACAGGAGAGCTTTTATGCTTGCTAGGTGGAATTCTAAACCATCTCAAGTAATGACTGGTTTTTATAAAAAGATGCCCTGTTCAGAAAGGCTACGGCTAATACTATGTGCTTCTGGGGAAACTGATACACTGGAACGTTGTTTATCGGAATACCCCTTTTCCTCAAATGTGGCCCACAGCCAGAATATTTTTATAGGGGGGGGCCAAATAAGTACAGTGGTGGTCAGCCCATCATGGCTTTATTTAATTTATTATTTATTTACCAATTTTCTACTTGAGACTCACAGTGGATTGCATGGTATATAGAACATGGTAGTCAAACAGCTTGAGAGATCTAATAAACAATGCAATAGGACTAGGCTTACAAAAATTACAAAAATGCAAAAAAAATCAAATATGCAATGTCAAGCAATGCAGAAAACGGAATCATGAAAAATGAAAACAGTGCTGTAAGAGCATGAGAGAACATACAGCAAATCAATAATATATAGTGTACATTGTGGCATAGACTACAGTATTGTTCTGTATAAGCTTTATAAAAATGCCCTCCGAAGCAACTGTTTTACATAGTTTCCAGAATTAAAGAAGTGTAAGAGCCTTCTTTAATGTTCTTTGAGGGGGTGAACAAACATGTGGACAAGGGGGATCCAATAGATGTTGTTTACTTTGACTTCCATAAAGCTTTTGATAAAGTTCCTCATCAAAGGCTCCTAAGTAAGCTCAAAAATCACGGGATAAAAGGACAAGTCCTTTTGTGGATCAAAAACTGGCTAATAAATCGGAAACAGAGAGTGAGTATAAATGGGCAATTTTCTCAGTGGAGGGTGGTAAGCAGTGGGGTACCGCAGGGATCAGTACTCGGTCCAATGCTTTTTGACTTGTTCATGAATGATTTGGAGTTGGGAGTAAGCAGTGAAGTGGCTAAACCTGTGAATGATACGAAGTTGTTCAGGGTGGTGAAAACCAGGGAGGATTGTGAGGCACTCCAAAGGGATCTGTCGAGGATGGGCGAGTGGGCATCAATGTGGCAAATGGGGTTCAATGTGGCCAAGTGCAAGGTGATGCACATTGGGGCCAACAATCCTAACTGTAAATACACGTTGATGGAGTCCGAACTGGCAGAGACTGACCAAGAGAGAGATCTTGGAGTCGTAGTAGATAACTCACTGAAAATGTCGAGACAGTGCGTGACTGCAATAAAAAAGGCCAATGTTATGCTGGGGATTATTAGGAAGGGTATTGAAAACAGATCAGCCAATATCATAATGCCCCTATATAAATCAATGGTGTAACCTCATTTGGAATACTGTGTACAGTTCTGGTCACCACACCTTAAAAAGGATATTATAGCTTTGGGAAAAGTGCAGAAAAGGGCAACTCGAATGATAAAAGGGTTGGAACACTTTCCCTATGAAGAAAGGTTAAAGTGCTTAGGGTTCTTCAGCTTGGAGAAACGACAGCTGAGGGGTGACATGATTGAGGTTTATAAGATTATGCATGGGATAGAGCAGGTAGAGAAAGAGGTACTTTTCTCCCTTTCTCACAATACAAGAACTCGTGGGCACTCCATGAAATTGCTGAGCGGTCGGGTTAGAACGAATAAAAGGAAGTACTTCTTCACCCAAAGAGTGATTAACACATGGAATTCAGGAAGTGGCGGCGGCTACAAGCATGGACGGCTTCAAAAGGGAATTAGAGAAGCATATGGAGCCGAGGGCCA